CTTAGATAAGAGAGTTGGTATTTTCTCTTTAAAGTTCACCATGACATTAAGAACTTTGGTGGAGTTATGAAAGCATTTTGGTGGGAATCTCAAGTCAAGTTCAAGAGGTTTCTTTATCGGAAGCCTTATTATCACTCGTGGCCTTTTTCCAAGAATTTCACTTTCCTATTATGTGACTTTGTCCCGCTGAATCTATTGGGTAGACATCTATTATTCCAACAGGAACTTAAATAAGCTCTCCTTGGGAGAGATGACTTTAGAAATGTGAGATTCATTAGACATAGAGACATTGGGGTTCTCTAAGTCCAAATTGATTGTCCTAAGAAAAACTGTTAAATTTCATAAATTCCTAACACTCTGTGGGCTTATTGTTCTATGGATGTGGGAAAGATCAAAAGTAAAAAACTCATTAAAATTCTGATTGATCCTTTAACTTCTTCCTAAATTATCTAAATTCCTTTTGATACCTGAAGCAGTATGGGGACTCACTCTGACAAAGAGGACCTAACAAATCAGGGACTAATTACTCCATTCACTAATCCTTGTAGCATCCCTAGCTTATCTTTTAATAATCTCCAAGGATGGAAATTTGCATAGGACATGAGAACAACAAATGAAATTGTAATAGCAAGATTCTCAATAGTATCAGTCTCAACATTTTGCTAGACTGAATTCAAGTGGTTCATAATAGTAGTCATATACTATCACTATTTTTACTATTATTATTATTTTATAGTATTCCTGTGGACAAAGACTGTGGATATTGGTTGGCTTTTACCTAAAAAAATCAACACTGTTTTTGGACAGTGATGCCTTACAAGTTTTACATGAGGATTAGAACACTATTATTTCCCAGAAATTCTACCTTGATTCAATACATAGATGATTTACTTCTTTGCTCTTCATTGAACTAGGACTCAAGAATTGACTCAGTGTATCTGTTACAACAACTCTTTTTGGACTGGTAGAGTGGCTCAAGTGGTAGAGCAGTAGCCCAGCAACTGTGAGGCCTGGAGTTCAAACTCCAGTACCACAAAACAAACAAACAAAACACAAACAACAGCAACAACTGGTTTATCAGGACCATAAGACCTATTGAGATAAACTTTAATTCTCACAAGTGATGGAACACTATCTAGGTCATGCCTTATCTGCAAAAGGAGTCTTTCTGTCTTCAGTAGAAATAAATATTATCCAAATTTATCCTAGACCTGTGACGAGAAGGCAATTAAGAAGGTTCCTAATTTTTCTTTACTGGTTTATCTATTCTATGAACTAAAACAACATGCCAGAACTTCATTTTTGGGAAGCAAACCATTAGAATGCCGTTACTGAATTTAAATGTGCATTGCAAAATCTTCCAATGTTTAGGGCTCTCTGGTTATTCTAAAGTCTTCATATTATTTGTCTATGAATGAAGCAAGTAGGTCCTAGGAGTCTTCATTCAACAACATGGAAGAAGACATCCATAGTCCCACACTTAGAGATGCAAAAGATCAGATATGAATATTTCATCAGATCACAAAGGCACAATTGATCAATTTAGTTGGTTAAATCTTGGCTTTGGGACCTTGGCTTGAGGTATTTTTCAAACTCTTTGTATAATCTTCTTATTGGTCCTACTGATAACATCTTTGTGCATTGTGGTCTCTTAAGAGTCTTGATTGCTTTTCAGCAGTCATTGTCACTAAACAATCTCCACAGGGATTAAATAAATGACAGGGCTTTGAATATTTGGAAGAACCTAATGAAATTCTGGTTTGTGATCTTTAGATGAATGGAAAGAGAAACATGTAGTAATGAGAAAAAGGCTTAAGAGATGGTCACACTCTTAGTTCAACTAAGAGAGTGACCAAAAGGAAGAGTGGAAATGTTTACATATAATCAAAATGGAGGACACAGTTTGGGTAATACCCCTAGGTCAACCAACCTAGCCATATAACAGAAACTTAAGCTTTTCTGATTTCCCTGAAATGCAAGCTCTAAATAAATAAACTTAAGCTTTTCTTTCTTGTCAGTATGACAAAGTTGAATCAACCAGCCATAGACAAATGAGCTTATATAGCTCTAGTCACTGTAAAAGGAATGTGTTTTTAATAGCCAATCACAATAGAGATCAATATACTTCCTCATTTCTGCTGTATAAATTGCACTGTAACTCTTGAGGGCCAAACTTGTTGGAGTCCCCAAGTTCACAAACTGTTCTTTAGTATGCCCAATAAACTCTTGCATTTCTTCCTGTTCTTCCCCCCTCCACCTCCCCCCCCACCCCGAACTCTTTTGAACACTGGAATTTATTCTATTTTTTTACTTGCATATATTAATAGTACATTTCTTTTTTAAACTTGATCTAATTTTATTTGCACAAGGCCCTCCGTGTACTTGGGCTTCTCACACCATGGCAGTCTCAGTGTCACAGTACTATTTACCTAGCAGCTGTCCTCTTAAGAGGAAGGCTTCCAAGAGAAAGAAGTGGAAGTTCTTGTGGTCTGGCTCCAGAAGCTCATACACTATTACTTCAACCTACAGTTAACAATGACACATTGTTACCTATTGTTCAGTCAGTAGCTCAGAGGAATCACAGAATATGGAGATGAAACATAGGACCCTTCTTCCCCCTCAATACACCATGCAGGGAAAGGACAACTTCAAATAGAAAGATCAGGAAAAGCTGTCCAGGGGAAGAAGCTGGATTTAAAGGATATGGAGCATTTAAAAAAGTGGCCAAAACATATCAAATACCTAAATATAAAACTGTAGCAAGGATAAAAATGGCTCTCGAAATGCTTCCCAAAATGAGAATTAGGTTTCTTTCTCAACTGGTTTTGCTACAAGGATAGGAACAGTGAAAATTAGCCTCCCATTGGGGAAGTCACTCCTTTCTGTTCATAAACAGAGTGTTTCAACTGAAAAGATAATTTTTCTTTAAAGAGGTCAGCTCATTTGAAGAAGGGTGAACTTGAGATAAAGGATTTTATAAGATTAATTGAGAAAGGTCAGTCAGAGTTCAGTTTATTCTGAGAAGTGCTTACAGTTAAAATTCTCCCAAGGTGTAGGGAAAGGTTTGCAGCTGGTACTGAAATAGGATGCAGGCCACAAAACGGGTGTTATTTAGTAGACATTGCTCAGGTAATTTGGGTTTATCCAGCACAGTCTACAAGATGTAGTCTTCAGGGTCTTATAAGGCTTTAAACAGGATAATTTAATCGTTACTAGCACACGTTTTGACAAGAAGCTCTCCTTGGATGTTTAGTTTACAGACAAATAGTTCTGTCTAGGTTAATTATTGTGTTTGAGCTGTTTACTGTACATGTAGCCTATTTTGAACCCTGGCACTTGGTAGATCCTTAATGTTGCTGAATGAATTCTCCTTTCATGTCCTCTCAATACCATTTTGCACAGTCTACATTCTTTTCCAAAGTTTTGCCTATATAACAGCCCAGGAACAGGAATATTTTAGATTTGCATACCAATTAAAAAAACAGTGGGTGCTGGTGGCTCACACCTGTAAATCTAGCTACTTGGGAGGCTGAGATTAGAAGGACTACAAATAGTTTGTGAGACCCCCCCCAATTCCAAAATAACCAGAGCAAAATGGGCTGGAGGTGTAGCTCAAGTGGTAGAGTACCTGTTTTGCAAATGTGAAGGCCTGAGTTCAAACTCCAGTCTGACCAAATGAAAAAGAAATAAAAACCCCACTTCAGTTTGCAAAATTTAACTCTTCCTTCCTTCTTTTCTTTTTTTTCTTACTGATCCGTTTTTTGAATCAATCCGTTTTTTGATGAAATATCAAGTCTGACCTTCAAAAAGTAAAGGGAGAGGGAACACAGTTTATGAGAAATACTTAAAAAATCTTTATCTATGCATAGATAGATAAAATAGATCTCTTTACCTGGCATGGTGCCTAATCCCAGCTACTTAGTAGGCTGAAAGGGGGAGGGTGAGTTGCCAAGGGTTGGAGGCCAGTCTGGGCAACCTGGTGAAGCCTCAAAAAATAAAATAATAAAATAAAAAATCTTTTAATGTGTTATAATATTCTCATCAAATTTTACTCCCCATTTACATAATAATGTAGGTTCCTCCTCTCCTGTCCAATAAAGCAACAGTTAGTTAGTTGTTTTCTATTTGGTGGGAGCATATAAAATTCCAAGCTGCAGGCTTTGATGGATAAGGGATAGTATTATCTTCAACTGTGGGGAGTTTGACAAAGGGCAACATTTTTGTGAAGTTTACATAGTATCCTCTTTAGGTAGGTTTTTTTTTTTTTCCTTCTTGAGCTTTGTTGGCTCCTGGAAAACTCTGGCTAAGCAAACAGAAAAATAAAACCGATTCCCTACGGGGCCTTGGGACTCTGAAACCTTAATCCAGAGAAAACCAGTTAAGCTTTTAGAGACGGGAAAGGAGGGCGCGCCAAGAAAGATTAAGTCCAGGGTGTAGAGAGCTGGATAGCGCCTTCCAGCAGCGCAAAAAAAATAAGCCTCCTTAATAAGGCAGCCCCAAGATGTCTAGAGAAAAGTATACTCTATCTCTCACCAGTCCCATCAAAGTGAGTAAGTGAACCTTGCCTCCGATGCGTGCAAACAACAGCCTACAGGGAGTTTCAACCTATCCCCTACATGGGCCACACATCACCCGCCCAGCTTCGTTAGCAGGCTCCCGCCCCAACCTGGTAGAGGCGGAGAGAAGAGGCTGGAGAGGATGCGGCGCGGAGGTGGCACCGCACATCCGGCGCGCCTGCCGCGGGCTGTGGGCTGCATAATTGATGGGGGGGCTGGGCGAAGTGCTGGGCCGGCCTCGGGTGCGGTGGCGGCGTCGCCAGGAAGGAGGGCAGGGCAACCTTGCCCCTCCCACTTCGCCTTTTTTAGCGAGTCCTGTCCCCAGGACCGGCAGTGGGCTCCAAGTCAGCAGCGAGTGTGTACAAGAGCCCCGGACACCGACGGCGACAAACCCAGCAAGCAGCAGCTCCATCGGGACCGCAGCCGACCCGCCGGCGCCATGCGCGCACTCACCGGCCCGAGGGCCCACGGAGCGCCCCGAGCGTCGCCCGCCCGACTGCTGCTGTTCCTGTGCCTTCTGGCTACGACGCGCCCGAGCCTGGCGGACGGTGACCTCCCAGGTGCGAGGGGTGCATGGCGGACCGTGGAAGGAGCGCGGACGGCTGATGGCGCGGGAGAGGCGCGGGGATGCTGGTGAAGCTGGTGAAGGCAGTGGCCTCCCATTGGCTGGGCGTGGGTGACCCCAGGAAGCAACGTGGGCACCGCGGCGCTGTGGGCTGCCTCGGCCCGTGGGGAGTGATATGCAATGCATTGCGCCCCGCAGGTTCGGGGGCGTTGATATTAGGGTACGGTCAAGTTTTCCTAGCAGAGGGTGTAAGGTGGTGCGGGAACTAGCCAGTGACTTGACATCTGTTAATGTGGCCTGATTTCTGAAAGCCACGTTCGCCAAGGCCAACTCCCTTCGCTTGAATGGAGAGTAAGGCTCAAATATCACCTTTCCTCCTCCTGGCAAGTAAGTGTTGGCTTTGAGGAGGTTTATGAGAGCTGAGTAGAAAAAACACCGCAACCAGTGTACCAGGTAACTTACTGGACAATCTGGGTGTGTGTTTCTTCTTTGACACCATAGTCTTTGAAAACAAAGTGTGTTTTTTGTTGTTATTGGTTGTTTTATTGCTTAAGACCCTTGGCAGAGAAACTTGTACAAAACAATTGAAAGCTAAGACCAATTTTGCCATTTTAGCTTCACCCTTCACCTTGCAACTTTCTATGTTGCAAGTATTCCATCTAACCTGCTTTCCAATGCAAATTACTGTGTTAATAAGGCTCTGTTAGCTTCCATTGGGGACAATGGAACACAATTGCCTCTCAGAGGTAAATATTGGTCTCCAGGAACTAAAATTGAGGCTTTGTTCTACACAAGGCTTTCGACCTTTTATAGGAATTTATTGTGTGTAGATCTTTAAAACCATACAATAAAGAAGGAAAGGCAAAGGATAAGCCATTTTAAAAAAACCCTTTAAAAGGCTTAGTTGTTAACAACTTGAACAAAACCTTTTGGGTTGCTTGAGGGTCCAAATGTCCTTGCCCCTCTCTTTTTCATCATACCAGTTATAAATAATTCTCCCAGACATCTTTTCCCCCTCTGGGTATCCCTAGCTCTTCTATTATTGATTCACCCATTATTCACTTCAGAATATCCTCCCTCCCTCTCTTCCTCCTTTCCTTTGTGGCTCTCTCCCTCCCAGCTCAGGGCCTGTAGCATGGTAGACTAGCACTCTACCACTGAGCTACACGCCCACACTATTGTGAGTATCCTGCTTTCTGGGTTAGTCCCAGAAGTTTGAAGAGTTTTGAAACTACTGGTATTGTCTCCTGGCCTCAATATCACTGATTCATTTTGACCTGTGATTCAACCTGGACATTAGTAGTTTTAAAAAACTTCCCATGTGATTCTAATCATGGGATTCAAAGTACGTTCAAAACCACTACTTTAAAGTTATATGACCTAGAGAGTGCAGTGTTAGATACTTACTCTGTTGGCTTCTGGTTTGATATCCACAGTTGGCTCCTAAAGGCAAAAAAATAGGAAACAGATGGAGGTGGAATAAATGTAGGTGTAAATAAATGTGATGAATGGGGTAGGGGAATGTGTCTGTTGTGTAAGTCATGTCCTTTTAGCTTTACTTAGGCTAAAATTATGAAGTAATGTATACAAAGCATGAAGTTAGCATCTAAGTCTAAGCTACAATTAGAAATGGTCAGACCACCATCCCTGTTTTTCCGGATTCTGTATTGATCTGCATAAGATTCACTTTCAGTTTCTTTTTTGCTAAAGGATACTGCAGGGTTTACTGGATTCTCCCTCCCCGACCCCTCCACTTCCTGGTGGTACTGGGGTTTGAACTCAGGGCTCTGAGCTTGCTAGGCAAGTTCTCTATGACTTGAAACCCAACCCTTTATTCTTTATTTTTCAGGTAAGGTCTCACACATTTGCCTGGGATGGCTTCAGATTGCCATCTTCCTGCTTCAGCTTCCAGTGTAGTTGGGATTACAGACATGTACCACTATGTCTGGCTTGTTTTTTGAAATAGGATCTGGCTAATTTTTTGTTGGAACTGACCTTGAACTGCAATGCTTTTTTCTTTCCCTCCCTGGATATTTTTTATGTAGATACTTTGAACAACTTTGAACTTAACAGACAAGAGTTCTGTTAAACTAAGACTTTGGGACAGATTCTAATAATAAAATGGCTATATGTTATATTTGCTATAAAACAACTGTGTGCCAGCCCCTGCACTATGAAATTCATAGCCTGATGAAATTGATTTTATTATCTTTTGCTCTCAAATGAGGACATTGGGGCTCAGGTTAAGGAATTGCCCAAGTATACATAGTTAGTTTAGCAATAGAAAAGGAAATTGAACATTTGTCATTCTGACTCTCAACTTATTTTCTTAAACACAAAGTTTAGTCATCTCTCTGAGATGACTGGATATGGCCATGAAAATTTGGAACCACTGTCAGAGAGCACAGTGTGTGAATCTAAATATTTCATACACCATTGGCTGAAGGACATGCTGATGGTTTGAATCCTGGAATAAAGGTAGACATAGGGACTTACCTTGGGTCTTTCAAAGTTTTATCAATTAAATATGAGATATAAAACATTTTGTAAAGGAGAAGTATTACATAAATGGGACCATTTCAGCATTATTATTGTTACTATTACATGGAACACATCCAGGGGATGGGCCATATTTATTTTTTGTAAAATGTTTACAATAGAGTCATTTGAAATTAGCATCTTAACTTCCAGAGCCCTTTGGCTTGTTTGTCTTCTTGACCTACTCTGATCTCTTCTAGACCCTCCTCCCATAGAAACTACCAAGTGATAAGTATTTATTTGAATGAATGTTATTTTCAAGGGCCCACACTTGTCTGACATCATGTTAGTCTGTATCTCAGTAGAAGACACTAGTGATTTTTATCTTTAAGAGCATTTCAATTGTTTAAGGAACAGATGCACTTTAAGCCTAACTTTAACTGAGATATCTCTGATGCATCAAAATTTCTACCCTAGATTTATCATCATAATTAAACATTACATTATAAGCCTTTTGTTAATAACTTAGTTCAACTGAACCTTTTCTCTCCCAGACCTCTACCATCCCTGCCTTCCTCCTCCTCCTTTCTTTCTCTGCCACTGGGAGGGCAAGAGCATGGAGTTACTCCTACCTGGTAGGTGTTGGAACCATAGGCATCCAGATCTTGTAAAGATGGCATCCACATTGGAGGGCAGTCCTGGGTGTAATGTTAGAGCCTTAGCATAGTGAAGGAGGTGCTCTTGCCAAGGGGTGGCTCATCATGGAGTCTCAGAGCTGAGAAAGGTGACAAGGTCTTCTACACAGGGGCAGCCAAGACATGCAGTGTCTGAACACCAGGTGCAGACATGGAGGTAAAGTGTGCAGGAGGGGCATACCAGCACAGAAAGTAAAGTCTTAGATGGTGAGGAGGACAACTGTGGGGCAACAGGTGTAGCAATGACTGTGGTAGATTAGATATATACATGGGGGCTGATCAAGTAAGTAACCCTGTCAGGACAAGAGGATATAGGTTTTCTACTAGAGGAGAGGTAATTAAAGATGGTGAAAGTAGAACAAATTTTGTGGTGTTGGTTTATAATTGGAGCTATCAGTGTGAATTCATGACTATAAAAATCTTTTTACTTAATACATGTATGTGTAAATATGCATGATGTATACATATATAATGCATATTAATACATACATATATATTATACATATGCATGTATTAATATGCATATATGCATGTGTGTTAATATGTACACACTATATATGTTTGTTGTATATGCATTTATGAGTATGCTTGCATGCATGTATTCTTAACTCTGTCCACTGAGATGGAGTGGGGATTTCCCAAGCAGGGAGTTTACTTAGCATGCAGATCACGGATTCAAGAGCCATTCTGTCTAATAGTAACCTGAGCTTCTTGCAGAAATAGCTGGTTTCAGTACATTTCATCTGTTTAAGAAGATGGCACAATGAAACATACTGAAAGCTGTTGATTAATTAGGGGGAAAGGGGACAGGAGTAAGGGAGAGTAATAGAGGGGGCTAATCTGTTAAAGCATGATAATATTCATGGGTGAAATACCATGGTGAAACTTCTTTGAACAAGGAATATACACTTGAAAAATGAATGGAATGAAAAATAGGTCCTGTTGAGGAGTAGGTATGGGTGGTGGGGGGGAGGGTGAATGAAGAGGGTGAAGGGGGGGAATATGGTTGATGTACTTATATGCTTGTATGAAAATAAAACAATGGGACTTGCTGAGATTATTTTAAGTAGGGGAGAAGGAGGTGAGGGAGAATGAAGAATCTACCCAAGGTACATTGTAAACATATATGAAAATGTGACAATGAAACTCTCTGAACAACTAATATATGCAAATAAAAATGTTTAAAAAAATGGCTGATTGCAGGATGAGGGTGGGAAAATCTATAAATCTGGAACATATTGTGTCAGAAAGCAATGGAATGTTCAAAGAATGATGAGCCAAAAAGATATAGGAGCCAGTGTGAATGGGTTCCTACTGGACAAATCTGAGGCTAATTGAGCATCAAAATAAACATTATTAATGGATTATTATTATTGTTTGAATCAGGGTTTTATTATGTAGATTAGACTGACCTTGAACCCACTATGTTACCCAGGCTGGCCTCAAACTTGCAATCCCCTTGTTTTAGCCTCCTCATTGCAGTACTAGTGGATTATAATCCACTGAATAAGAATTCGCGAGTACGTACTGATGCAAATGAGGTACAAAGTATTTCATAGTTTCAAAACAATTCCCCACAAAATTCTTCTAAATACAAAGGGAAAAAGAGTAACTGTACAGTGGAAAATGCCCACACAACATAACTTTAATCAAATAAGCAAAATGATTAGTAAAAATACAAAAAAAATATTTTTTGTGTCATCTGATAGGATACAATGAGAACACCGCATTACTTCTGTGATTTTTTTTTGAGTCATAATTGCAATCTTGCAGTATCTGTGATATTTCTGCCAAAGATGCCTATCCTAAATGTAATCATATACGCAGAACTTTGTTGAATTTTCAAGTCAAGGTCACAAGAGTCAGGAGAGACTATAGCTGTTCAAGAGGAAAGGATACTAAAGAGACAAGGCAGCTGTTGGCACCCTGTGATTCTGAGGCAGCCTAGGCTTTTGCTCTGAGCTACATGTTAGGGAGACTAAGCTGGAGTGTGGGGGTGAGTGGATAAGGCATCAATGTTAGTTTCTCAATTTTCCTGTAGCATTGGAATGATGTGAGGTGTTTGCTTTGTAAGAAGCACACAATAGTATGTATCTTCGAGGGGTCAGTGGATCAGCATTTAATTCTCAAGTGGTTTAGGGAAAAATGTTCCATTCTTGAAACTTTTCTGTTAATTTGAGATTGTTTGAAACAAAAAGAACTAGTTCAATTTTTTTCTAAGAAGGTTTGATTTAACATCGGCATTACACTAAAACAGTACTTGAGAAATTGTCATCTGTTTATGTTTTTGGTATAATTTTCCAAAGAATTGTATGTCCCTAAACAGAAATATATTTTGGCTGTTTTTCCTAGACTGCAATCTGTTTTTTTTTTTGGGTGGTTTTGCAGTTTGAATTCAGGGCCTTTTGCTTGTGAGGCCACGCCTTTATGCTTAGATTGTAATCTTTTGAGGCTAATTTTGTATAACTACCTTCACATATTTCACAATGTAGGTGAACTTTGAGAATAAACAAGTGAGGAAACATTTAATGACATAGAAGGGAAAAAATCCTAAGAGTATTTTGTTAAAAATAAAAAACTCTGCCAGGAATGGGGGAGGGAGGATAAAGGAGAATGATGAAGGGGTGAATGCAAGGATGATATATTTGACACATTGTAAGGACTTTTGTAAATGCTACAGTGTACCCCTACCCAGCACAATTAAAAAAAGAATAGAAGAAGAAAGGAAGAAAATAAACTCTGTCTACTTAATAATACATCATTATTCAAGCATAATAAGATATCTCAAGTACAAAAATTTTTTTGACACTTTCGAAGTTATTGAGGTTATCATAACTCATGCATCCCTATCATAAGACAGTCTTTCTGTAGTGTTACAATTTATGCAGTTCAGAGTACCTGAAAGGGAATTTTGATTGATCTTGAAGTCCGAAGTGCTTTTATGGCTTAGCCAAGAGCAGTGAGCTAATAGTTACAGGTATAACTGGTTTCTTGTTTATGATTTAGTGCTCAGTCTAGCATGTGGTTTTTCTTCCTAAAACAACCCCCATAGGCCCCTGATAGGTAGGTATTGTTTGTCAGGGAAGGTCAGTATGAAATATTCATGCTTTAAAATATTTGCACTTAAACTGTGTTGAACAGGACTGTAGGGTCATAGGGCTATTTGAAAACTATTAAAAATCACCATGTTGAAGAACCAGGGCTGAAGATGTATCTATTCAAAGTCAAGGTTTCTCAAGCTTGGCTTCATTTACATTTTGGCCTGGGTATTCCATTGTTGCAGGGACAGTTATTGTAGAACGTTTTATAAGGCTGCATGAGAGTACACGTTGTGCTTGCCATTAGGGTGTTTTTTTTTTTTTTTCCCCATCTATACATGGCTTTCCTGTCCAAAAGTTACCGTACTGTGTAAAATTACCAGTTCCCTATCTGGACTGTTATCTGTCTTTGACTTATAAAGACTGACTTATAAATGGCCTCGTCAGGATAAGTTACTACTAGTTTTTTGACAAACCTTTTTTTCTTAAATTTTCTTTGGAATGTAATGCCCAGGACTCAAGTAGCCTTATTTTTCCTTACACTGCTACATTTATAAACAAGGGACAACAATACCATACATTTCTAGACCCCAAAATAAAACTCTAAATATATTGTTCATAAGCAGATTTTACTTAGTAGTGGGTATTTTAAAGTTAGAGTTTAGCCATATCATGGCTTAAATGGTTTTTAACATTTGGTGTGGGATCTTATGAATATTGCTTCCTTGAAGAAATATACTCGAATTTCCAAACCTCTGTTTTAAGAAGTATATTATCTATCCCTAAATTGTCATGTCTTTATGATTGGGTTACATATTTATAATGCAGAATGTTGAAATGAAGGTTTATTAAAATAATTTTATTATGCATATCGATAGCAATTACTATGTAGGCAAGACATAAAGAATGATGTATTTATTCTAATAAAAAGTTTGACCTATTTTTTTCAGTGTTGAGATTCAAACCTGGTTCCTTGCACATGCTAGGCAATCACTCCATCACTTGGTTACACCCCAGCTCCAATTTCTATAGCTTTATAAATGAAGTCCAGACCTTTTTAAAATATTAAAGTAATGAGACTTGAGAGTTTGGAGTGAATATTTATTCTTTTTTGTGGTTTTTGTACTGGGGTTTGAACTCGGGCCTACACCTTGAGCCACTCTACCAGTCCTTTTTTGTGATGGTTTTTTTGAGATGAGTCTCATGAACTATTTGCCCAGGCTGGCTTCGAACTGCAATCTTCCTGATCTCTGCCACCTGAGGAGCTAGGATTACAGAGGTGAGCCACTGCCACCTGGCTGCATATTTATTCCTGTAGGAGATGTAGTTGAATTTTATTTCCTTATTTAATAAAAGCAAATCCTAAAATCCAATGCAGTTTTCTAATTTTTTATACTTTTTTTTCCTTCCCAATTTGCTTCGTTAAACCAAGCCCCCAAATTAACTTTGTGAAAATGTTACCTTAATATTTTTAGTAGCAGTATTATAGAAAATTTATTTCATTTGAAAGTGTTAATAAGTTATAAACCCTCTGGCAATGTCTATTTTAAAATATAATATGTGAGTTTAATTTAAATTGAATGGGAGATTTGAAGAATGTAGCCAAGTGTACAATAATAAGCTATCCCCCCCCTTTTTAACTCCTTTGATGGAGTTGGATTAGTTTTCATAGGAGGTAAGATCTGATACCTTAAAGTCAAAGGAGCAGTATAAAACAAATAAGCCTGAGCAAAAGGAGAGTGGTGGAAATTGAAAACTTGTCTGTTTTTCTTTTTTTTTTTTTCCTTTAGGGTAAGAGAACATCTTTTTTTTTCATAATATAACTTTTTTTTGGCATAAGTTGTACAGAGGGTTTCATTGGGACAGTTCCATATATGCTTATAATGTACCTCATCCCCCTCTCCTCTACTTAAACTGACTTCAGAAACTTTGTTTCTTTCATGAAGGTTTTCAAAAGGAGGGAAGTGACAGAGGAAAGAGGAAGTGGCTTGGTAAAGCGCACACTACACTGTAAAGACAGCCAGAAAACAAATAACAGCACCACTCACTGTGCAGCCATTTTGTCTTCTTTGTCTTCCAGTGCCCAACATTTTCTGTCTTGTTTTTTTTCTCATTTTGTTAGGTCCTGTATCCCTCTTTGTTCTCTTTCCTTCTCTCTTTGCCTTTTCCTCTCTTTTCTGTCACTCTTATCTAATTCCTTAGGTTCATTTGTTTTGTAAAGAAACTATAATTGGAGGATGGAAGTTTTTATTCAAGAAAAAACCCAGCTCAAAAAATCAGCAGGATGTTTTTGAGTAAATAAAAGAACACAAAGAAAACCTATAAATTTAGTCATATGTAATAACTCAGAATATTCCTGAATACCTTTGGAGCATATAAAATGTAGAACTTTTAAAAAATTAACAGTACACAATAATATTCAGCTGTTGCAAACTGTCTTTTGAATTCTCATTTATTCTGGGTTACAGTGCATTCTTTTTCTTACAGATTCAGCTTTTACAAGTCTACCTGTTCGAGAAGAAATGATGGCAAAATACTCTAATTTTCCTGTGGAGAGTCATAACATATCACTGACAGGTAAATATATCATGTTTCAAATACCATAATGCCAAAATACAGTTTTTGAATTTTAATTAAGCTACTGTATTTTTTTTTTGTCTCAACAAGTACTAATCCCTATTGATGGTCAGTAAGGGCAACACAGCAGTGACCTATGCACCTCACAATGGAAGTCTGAAGCAATGAGGACCTGTGCTCTGTGCTTAGGGAGGAGGAAGCTATTTTTGACCTGCTTGGTCTAAGAAAGGCCCCTGGGAAGAGGGGTGTTTGAGAAGGGGAAGGGTTAATTTTGGTTTGCAGATATTCTCTATGTTCCTCAGTTCTTGTAGGTTTACATCCATTAAAACCACTGTGCTGTGAGAGCAGAAATCATGAATCTACTGGAAACTTTTAGCCAGAGAAGTTGATGATATTATAGGAGTCAGGAGTCAGTGCTGTGGGAAAACAAGCAAGGAATTCCAGAATTAAACTCCACTCTACTTTGTCTTTTACAGCTTTGATTTCTTTTAAAAGCAATCGAGGAGTTCTTTAAATTAGTAAGAGTAGTCTGTTTTGTAACAATTATTAAAATAAAATAGCATAATTGCAATTTGAAATAATTTAAGTCTATTAACTAAATCAATATTATTTTCTACTTTTATGTCCAGTTTTTAACTGTTCCTAGTCTTAGAAACTGTTCCTCTGCTTCTGTTTCACATGACTAGACTGTGCATGTGTGTGAGTGTGTGTGTGTGTGTGTGTGTGTGTGTGTGTGTGTGTGTTTGCCAAATCTGTTGTCAGTGGAATGTTTGCACTGAGCTTTTCAGTAGGACATTTTTATAACTTTGTGCAGGTCTTACTTGTTTCCAGAAGTCCTCATTCCAGCATTGTGAATTTATTCTTGTGAAAAATAATTTCAACATTTCTGTGTTGTTACTTGTCCTTTTACTTTTCACTTGTTCTGGTTGTTGGTTGCTTCCTCCAAGGCTCATGTGAAAACGTTAAGTTTGCAAATGCTTTGACCAGTATGGAATTGTGGGCAACAGGGGTCCCTCATTTACCCAGTACAGGTGGGGCATGGAAAGAAAGGATCAACGGTCAGAACAGGGCAAGAAATAGCCTTTTTAACTTAAGCCAGGCTGGTTTTTTACTTAACTTGTTTGGAAGGTTTAATTCCTACCTCCTCTTTTGTCCTAACAATGTAGTTAAATCCAGTATTCCTGCGATGAGGAGATAGTTGTTTCCAGTTGTCACTAATTTACCAACAACCTTAATTTGACCAAACAGTGGTCTGATTTTTTCTCTTTTTCATGGACTCTTCAACTTCAGCTTGCCCTAGGTTGAAGCAAACAGTCCGAGCAAACAGTCACACACAAGACATCAGAGGACTGGTGATGTGGCCGCTCCATGCTGTTAGCATAAAATCGCCTGTTTGTCTGTTTCTCCTCAAAGTCTTGTCTGTTTGATTTTCAGACACTTGAAGATATTAAGTTTGGAGCTTTTTCTGCTTTTAGTCTTTAAAAGATAAAGTCTTTTTTTTTTTTTAAAGGTTGGACTTTGTTTTTATTTGATGAAAGAAATGATCTAACATTAATTTTATGACGCTGGGTCTCTGAGCTGTGGACCAGATGGTTGTACTTTCATGTTGGTCTGGGTGTATTTAAAAGTTTCATGTTAGGAGCTACATCCATGGAAAGGTGGAATTTAAATTTAAAGACATGATTGTGATTGTTAGGAACCATAAGACTTCATCTTACTGCTACCATTAGGATTTTTAGTGTATTTTTGTGAAAGGTGTGTTTTCATACTGTCCTATTACTGCTTGTTTGATGTGCCAATATTAATTTTACTGCTACTATTGTTTGTATCTAAATAGCACTGAGAACATTTCCATATTGTACTTCCTATTTTCCTTTTCCCTCTGGCCATTTTAGAAGTTGATCTTTCTGTTGGTTTGCAGTGTTCCTTGTAGAGAGTCAAGAACTATACCTTAGTTACAAATTTTGGACCAGATTGACAACCTTGGCTGCTCTTAATACATTTACTAGGGAGAGATGGGAGCACATGGGCTTTGTGCTCTGAGAATGAAAAACATGGCCTTTGATTTAGTATTTGAAAGCTATTACTAATTATTTGCTTAACAAACTCATGGTATTATGTACATATTTCTAAATATAATTTAATTAACCCTGATAACAGTTCTATGAGGTGAATACTGTGCTTATTTGCAATTTATAAATGAGAAAAGTAAAGCACAAAGAAATGAAATAGGTGACCAGGATCACAGGTCCAAGTTGGAGCTCAGGTTTGAACCCAGGCAGTCTAGAGCCAGATTCCATGCTGTTAACCATTATGCTATGCAGTCCCTGTTGGTGCCAAATCACTCACTGCTTTTAACAGCATTGTTAAAACAATTATGCCTATTTTAAGGAGACTGATAGTATTTTTGAAATAATGTATTAAAAAACCATGAAAGTGAAGCTATTTTAATTGCCTTAACCCCAAATAGGTTAGTCTTAGAAATTGCATTTTATGAATAATGGATTTGTGAAAGTTTAATTGACTTGGACTGAATGGTTTCTCTGTCTCTGTCTCTGTCTCTATCTCTGTCTCTCATTCTTTCTTTCTCTCCTATCACTTTTTTTTTTTAAAAACAGATGTTTTGATAACGGACTACTTTTACATCACTTTTCTAAATTTCCTAATGTCAATATTTGGCAACCATTGTTTCTTTTACTGTAGTTAGTATTTTTGCGTTGCTACTTTCAATGGTTTTTCTTTTTCTCTGCATATTGTACTGTTTGCCATCTCAATAATGTGTTACAGTTTAAACAAGGGGATTAAAATCCAAACATCAGCTGACTGTGTTCTTGATCAACCTGGTGACAGCTGTTGCTATCAGCTCTCACCGTCTTAACCCAGTGGCAGGTTTGTTTACCTGCTGAGATGTGGACAGCTGGTGGACAAGGTCCTGGTGAGGGAAGGAGGCAACATTGGCAGACATTACAGATGCAGATTTGCACATAAAGCACAATGTAGGGGTTGAGAAGATCAGTCAAGATAAGAAAAGACAACTGTGCAGAGAGGAAAAATGTGAGTCTTAACATTCTTAGGGTGTGAAAGAGAAGGAAGGGGTATGAAAGAGAACATGAAAGGGGCTCCATTGTAGCAGTACATGAGGGAGCAGCTGCAGGTAGCTTTTGTTCTCTACCAGGGTCCTCAGCAGATATGTTGGTGCTTGGAGTGGATAATCTTTGCTGTGGGGAGCTGTTTGGGACACTGTGGGATGTTTAGCAGGGTTCCTGGCCTTTATCTACTAGACATAAGGCCAAATGTCCCCTGGGGGGACAGATTTATCCCCAGGTTACCTTCACGGCTCTACACATAATAGAGGATAGACCTGTGTGTTAGCTTCTTATCACTACAGTGAAATAACGGGAGCAGGCTACTTGTGAAGAAAAGAGGTTTATTTAGCTCCCAGTTTTGGAGGTTTAAAGTCCAGACACCACAGCACAGGATCCCCTAGTAGATGGTGGAGTACATGCAGGAGGAAGCATTGCATTTTAAACCAAGAGGCAGAGAGCTGGGGGGTGAGGGGCTGGATCGCTCCTTTTATAACAACCTTACCACAAGAAGTCAAGATTTCCAGGAAAGCTTCCTAAACTCTTGACAGCACCCCCTCCCTCCATGAGCTAAGGACCTTCTACTAGGCCCCATCTCTTAAATGATCCATCACCTCAACTCTGTAATTGTGGGACCAAGCCTCCAACACACAAGCCTAGAGGGTGATTGCGCATCCAAACCATAGCACCCTGAAAGTGCACTCCATCCTGGCCGGAAGGCATATGACTTAATAGTCACAGGGCTGTTAATATTTAATAAAAAGTTTCCCACCCAGAAGTTAATGATGGTACTAAGATGCACAGGACATGATGGGACAGCGAACCTGATCTATCACACTGTTACCTCTTTTCTCCCTTCTGCTGGTGTCTAAATCCTCCTTATTTTTTGAGAATTAAGTCAAAAGTTGTATCTTCAGAGAGAAGTACTCTTTTTGTTTCTCTGATTTTTATTGTTTTTGTTAACTTTTAATTATGTAAGTAAAATTGAGGGCATTTTAAGAAAATATTAAAACATTATTTCCAACTTTCCAGTAAATTAAAAAAAAAAAAACAAACCTGAAAATCTTCTTGCCATATATCCAATATACCATATACATTCTCTTTCTTTAGAAGAAAGTAAAGACAATTTCCACTGACTGAAATTGGTGACCAGGGCATCAAATGTGTGAATTGATGCTGTGTTAGGTTTCCTTGTGTAGTGACCACCACACCTCAGTTTTCAGAGTTATAGAAGTTCACAGTCTTGAATCTATGCAAGGAGAGAAGTAGGAACTAGAAACCTCCAGGAAGCTGATCCTTCCTAGGCTGCAAACAGAGTGGAAGATTTGACTTAAAGCAACAAAAGCGATGACAAACAGACTTCTTTGTTTCAGCTTTGTTCCGTGAAAAACACAAGACTCCCATTACTACCTGGCAATTGAAAATATCACTAATAAAATGTAAAAGAAACCCCCAAAGATTCCTGTTCTAAGAATTCAAAGATATGGGCCTGCCCCCTTAAAGAAGTATAGATTAGAAATTTACATTCCTGCACTATGTAGAATTTCCAGACTGAGAAATAACTGAGAATGAGTCCTGGTGAGTGATTGTCCCTCAGGAAAATGGTGAAGAATGTCTGTGAGGGGATACATTGTCCACCCTGGCTGTGTAGTCCATTCTGAGAATGTGACATGAGAGAGAAATTCATAAAGCAGTGAAACTGCCTTTCACACAGCCAGCTGAGGATCCATAGGGTTAGATATCCTGACCTTCATATCACAGAAGTATTCAATGGGGACACAAGAATAAAAATGTTAAAAGCACAAAAACACGGCACATGGATGTTATGTTATAAAAAAAGACAAAGTAGTTTTCAAAAATAGCCAAATAGGGCTGGTAGGTGGACTGCCTGCCAAACAAGCGTGAGGTCCTGAGTTC